ACTTGAAGAAGAATGGAACATACAAAGGATGAAAAGGTGAATATGGCGATAAAGATGAGGACAACAGTCTGAATAATGTCAATATGTGTAAATAGTTACAATACCTTGTTGCAGAAATATAGACAGAATTGTATTTACATGTTTTTAAAATCTATAATATCCTCTGTTAAAAATATAGAAAATCAATATGGGTGAACTAGGTTTTTTATACGCATTTATCTCCCTTTGTAAAATTCTGACAGAAAATGTTTCAAATTATATTAACAACTGTTGCACGTTTTCTTTTTGCTTTTGTTGCTTAATGACTTTGGTTGAAGAATATTCATTGGATCTGTCTTGCAGAAGATTTCTGACTTCATTATTTTGCATGAATTTCATTTGATGCATAAGATCAACTTTAAATTTTAAATTGCCAGTATTGATTCAAGTCAATAATATTGCTTTAACTATTTTAATGATGTGTGAATTACTGCGAGTGTCCTCTCATATTTCCTACTTTTTAAAGAGTGAAGGAAATTCAGTCAATCAATTTAATATCAGTGAGTGCCTGTGCCTTTGGGGGTCTATCTCCAAGCATGTATTCTTAAAAGGATGGAAGAATCTCTACTCTGCTTCCTCTATATTACCTGGCATTTCTCACAAGAATTTTCACAAGGATGGAGAATTTTTGCTTATTCACCTCTGTCAACTTAATATTAGTGAATGTGTGTATTTTTGAGGGCTTTATCCAAGCATGGAATACTCACAAGGATGAAAGAGACTGTACCCTACTGTCTCTGTGTTTGCTGCTTATATATTTACCTGTCATAAAGTTTTTTTCCCAATATGTGTACATCGTAGATGTAGCAGCTTAAGCTGCCTATTCACAAAGGAATCGATCAGCACCCAGTGCCTATGAAGTCATCTTTCAGGTCAACCTACCTTTTGAAGAATGGAATGAATTCAGTGTACACATATTTGAAATAGTATAATGAAATTGTTGTTAATGATAATACAAGACTATCAAGAATTTTTACTTCTTCGCCTCTGGACTTTGTCAAATTAATAGCAGTGATTGTGTGTCTCTTAGGGCTTTCTCCAAGCATGGATTCTCACAAGGATGGAAATGATTCTACTCTGCTGCCTCTATATTTCTCGGCATTTTTTAAAGGATATTTTTAACCAACATTATTTCTTATTACTATAAATGTTATTTTTAGTGGGTACACATGTCTGAGTTGATATTCCTGTTTTTTTTTATTAAACTGTAAAATTAATAACAAACAGCTTAAATTGAAAAGTCCTACTGAAGAAAAATTGTGCCTCCATCAGGAATCGAATCTGCATACATTTTTTCTATCAGAGAAAACAATTTGGGGGCCAAAGTGTAACTCTATGAGTTCAGCCATGGAGACTAGTCTGACAGAGCAAGGTTTGAATTACCTATTTAATGAAAGCATGTTTCTCTTTTTTTTTAAAGGGTTTTTCATGTGATAAAAAATACAGTTCCTTAAATTCCGAGTAAGAAATTGCAGTCAGCAGATATAGATTGGTAGATTTCTCAATGAGGAATGTGCTTTCTTTAAACAGATAATTCCAGCCTTGCTCTGTCAGGCTTGTCCGTGTAGTTGAACTGGTCGAGGTAAACTTTGGTTAAAAAAGTTTTTTCCACATTGGAAAAAAGGGATGTAGATGATATCCAATTTAGCTTTTGAAAGTCCTTAAGTGATTATTATTTTGTACAGTTCTTCGTTTTTGAATCTGTAGCACCAGTCTACAAGGCTGAAAGAAAAATGGTCTTTGCCAAGATCCACATTAATTTCCTCACTCAAAGACATTTTCAATGATTTATCTTAGGCTGATTGTTAATAATTTCATTGTTAGAATAAGCAACTCAAATATGTGTAATCACTAACAAAAACGTTTATAATAAGAAGAAATAATTAATTCAAAAAATTATTGTTTGTTATGTATCAGGTATGAAACCTTTCTACAAGATTCAAAGAAAGATTTTTCACCAAGATACACAGACTTTATTCATTCAAAGGAATTTTTGACCATTGATCTTAGAAAGCATTTGTACACTATTGAGAGTTTAGATATTTTCGAATGGACATGGCACCATGCATAACATCCATATGAAAGTCTCAATCTGATGCGGCAATTTAAGAACACGAATTAGTTTAGACATTTCTGAATGAATTGGATGCCATACATGACATCCATATGAGAGTCTAGATCTGATGTGGCTATTTAAGAACACAATTTGAATTGGTTCTATAGAGATGATTGTTTAGACATTTCTGAATGAGTTAGATGCCATACATGACATCCATATGAGAATCTAGATCTGATGAGGCTATTTAAGAACACAACTTATATTGGTTCTATAGAGATGATTGTTTAGACGTTTCTGAAGATTGTGGATGCCATGCATGATGTTTCTGAATTAGTTGGCTGCAATGAATGACATCCATGTCAGAGTCTAGATCTGATGAGGCTATTTAAGAACATGATTCAAATTTTGGGTTGATGTTTTGGTTTTGTAGCAATTTGCTGTGTTTGGGTAAAGCTATGTTTAACGCAGCCTATTCTATGTTCAATTTTCTTATTTCCTGTACTAAATTTGTTAATATTTAAATATATGGCCAAACCAACTAATCTAGTCTAAACACTCATTTGATTTATTAGAGATGTTTTTTTGGAATATCAACATCTTGATTGTCATTATTTTCTCTTCTTCATATGCTATCCATAAACTAATAATATATATTTTATTTATATTTTTTAATGATAATAATAAGAATTTTATAGTAATTTTAAAAATATAATTTTTTAAAAAAAATTGATATTTTATTACTAGTTTTACTCCATCTTATTATTGTTGCTTTTTAGATGAAACATTTTCACTATTATTATTTTATTACTAATTTTATTCCAACTCATTATTGTTGCTTTTTAGGTGAAGTATTTTTAGAATTATTTTATTAATAGTTTTATTCCAGCTTATTGTTGCATTTTAGTTGAAGCATTTTCACTATTTTTATTTTATTACTAGTTTTATTCCATCTCATTGTTTTGTCTTTTAAATGACAGATTTTCATTGTTGCTTTAAGACTAGATTTAGGCTGGTTGATTTTATAATGTCATTAAATTTATAGAGGCATCAGTAAGAACTGAACTCACTACTCTGTAGTAATGGTCATCTAGATTATTGTCACACTTCACTAAAGATTTTTCTACACCAACACAGCCTGATTTATTTTGTGCATGTATGGTTCATCTTGATTTATTTTGTACATTATCAGAATATATTCTTCAGTGTCTGAAAAGCAGCAAAGAGTTTTTCAGAGTATTGTGTTGAATATAAGAGCGGTCAAGCATATTGTCATATTTCAAAATTTCCCCATAAGTTACAGCTTCTAACATTTGGCATGGCAGCATATAAATTAATGGTATTTTTTTTTATGGATGCGTGTGTAGTATAGTGGGTATTGGTTCAGAAAGTAGGATCAACAATCCAGGTTCAAATTCTAGCCAGGGTAACTGTTTATTTTTTTTTAAAATACTTTTGGAAAGGTATGAATTCATTTTTTCTCCCTCCTACCAAACTATAGGTTAAATAGCAGTGCAGATGAGCTGTCTAGTCTTGGTTGGCAACCAGTCGAGGAGAAAGATAATTCTAAATTCAACACCAATTGTGTGTGGAACTGCCAACTTAAAGGCCTACTTGCTATGAAAGCAACTACAGTAACACCTACTGTAATGAAGCTTTAGTCCTATTCTTCACCTAGCCTTGGTTGGTAACCATTCAAGGAGAAGGATAATTCAGAATTCAAAACCAATTAGTTGTGGAACTGGTAACTCTAACTCTTAAAGGCTCACTTGCTATTAAAAGAATGTCAGTAACACCTGGCATGGTGAGGCTGTAGTCCTATTCTCCACAAGAGAGTCTTATAGGGCTAACATATATATAATTATGTGTGCTTAATGTAGCAGGTACTGGCACAGAAAATGGAATCAGGATGCAGGGTTCAAGTTCTAGTTGATGTTGTTGCATTTACTTTTGCACAAAAACCCTTGAAAAATGTATAAATTCATTTCTCTTTTACCAACTATAGCTTAAAATGCAAATCACACTGGGCTACTGAGCCTTAGTTGGCAGCCAGTCAAGAAGAAGTATAGCTCTTAATTTAAAATAGATTGGGTATGGGAACTTCACCCCATAAAAACATACTTGCTATGGAAACCACAGAAGTAACACCTAGCTTGGTGAGGCTGTAGTGCTATTCTCAACCTGGCCTTGGTTGGCAGCCAGTTAAGGAGAAGTATGTGAATTTTATATTTTATATATATTTCATATTTTTATGAATTTAATATTTTTTCTCTCTCTCTCTAGTGTTACTGTTAAGGAAAAGAAGAAAATAAAAAAGAGTGTGTTATTGAATGTTATGCCATATTATATATCATGTTATTACAACTTGAACAAAATTCACCTGAGACTTTCTGCTTATTCAAAAAATATTGAATCAGTAATTCTGTTCAGATGTGTTCACTTCTGAAACATGGAAATGCATCAAACTTTTTATGCTTCAATAATATTGTCTCAATAATATTGATTCTATGGTAAGGATTCTTTTTGTTTGCGTTTTTTGTTTTTAAATTTCCTTATTGAACTTTCTTCTTGGATTTTCTACAGAAAAAAAATATCAAACAAACAAAAAATAATGTGAAAGTGAATGCAGCTCCCTGAATCAGTTTTAGTGAAACATAAATCAAGAAAATGCTTTATTTTGTCATGTGATCACTAGTTAATTGCATAGAATTTCTCAAGTTTAATTTTTTTTTTACCTCCACCCTAATCTGTTTTTTTCATTCTTTTTTTTTATTTCTTTCTCGTATTCTCCCTTTCATTTGTTATTTTAGTTGGATTTTATCTGCTGTTCACTTCCTTCTTTGCCTATTTCCTTCCTTCCTTTTCATTCGCTTTATACTTCTTTCCTACATTGATTTGTCTTCCAATGTATTTTTCTTTTTTTTTCTTATTCCTCAACTCGTTCACTGATTTGCCACTTGTTTTCTTAATTTGTTTAAACTTCCTTCCCATCTCTTTTTTCATTCTTCATTCTTTTTCTCGTTCCTTCCAAATATTACCAATACCCAGTTGCTGTTTTTCTGTTTCCTTTTGAACTTGAAGCCTGCCATCTTGATACTGCCCAAATTTTCTCTTATTTTTTGTTTATTTCATCTGATTTCTTCTATTGCTCAATTTTCTTTTAATCATTTTTTCCTCTTTTTTCCCCCTTTCTACATCTTCAGACTTTCACTTATTGTTTTCTATTTCATTCTTGTTTTTTTCACTTTTCCTTTCTTCTTTTTCCTTTCTTCTTTTTCCTTTCTTTTCTTTTAGTCTTTGCTTTTTTTTTCTATGATTCTTTTTTTTTTCTCTTTTTCTCAACTTTTTCCCTTTTCTTCTTTCTTTCCTTTTGCTTTTCTTATTTCTCTTTCATTTACTTTATACCTTCTATGATTCTTATTTTTTTAAATTTTCCCTTTTCTGTTTTTCTTTCTATCTTTCTCCTTTCCCTATTTCTCTTTCATTTTCTTCTGGTCTTCCATGATTTTTTTTTTAAAGTTTCCCTTTTTTCTTCATTCTATCCTTCTCTTTTCCCTATTTCTCTTTCATTTTCTTTATGTCTTCATTCTTTTTCTCATTCCTTTCAAACATTCTCTTTCATTTTACTTCTGGTCTTACTGTTTTTTTGTTTCCTTTTGAACTTGATCCTTCTCTTTTGCCATCTTTGATTTTTCTGGTCTTCCAAATTCTTTTTTTTTTCCTTTTTTCTTTTTTCTTATTGCATATGATTTCCTTTCTTGCTCAATTTTCTTTTTAGTTTCCTTTTTTTTCATTCTATCCTTCTCTTTTTTTTTTTTTTTTTTACTGGTCTTCATGATTTTTTTTAAAGTTTCATTTTTCTGTTTTCTATTTCATTCTTTTTCTTTCATTTTTTTTCTGGTTTCATGATTCTTTTTTTTGTTTCCTTTTTCTTCATTCTATCCTTCTCTTTTCCCTATTTCTCTTTCATTTTCATTTCCTTTGACATTCTTTTTATAAAGAATGTCAAAACCTAAGTTTTTTCTGTTTTTCTCATTTCAGTCTCAATTTTTGCATTCTTTTTGCATTCTTTAAACTCCTGGACAAATTTATCATTTAGATTTTATTTTGTTCTTATTTCATTACTCACTCAAAAAACCTTTTCTTTCAGTCTTTTTCTCTTTTGCATTCTTTAAACTCCTGGACAAATTTTCCTTCTTCTCACGAGTTCCTTTCACCAATTTTTCCTTTCTTTTCTTTTCTTCATTTTTTCTTTCTTCATTTTCTTTTACTTAGTTTCTTTATCTTCATTTATTCATTGTCTTTTGAGTCACCATTTTCTTTTGTCATTTACTAGTCATCTTTCTTTCTTTATATTCACTTTTTCATTTTCTTCACCTATTCTTTCTTGATACCTTTTCTCTTTTCTTTATTTTAACTTTTTACTTTTCTTATCACTCTTTCTTTCTTGTCACCTTAATTTTTCTTTCTTTCTTTCTTTATTTATTTTTCTTTGTCATAAACTTTCTTGCCTTCGCTTTTTTCAACGTTTTTCATTTATTCATTCTTTCTTCCTTCGTCTTTGACTTTCTTTCTTTCTTTGTTTCTTTCTTTCTTTGTCTCCAGTTTTCTTTCTTTATATTTGCCTTTCTTTCTTTCTTTCTTTTCACCTTTTTTCTGTTATCTTGTCTTTGTCATCACCTATTATTTTCTGTTTGTCAGATTCTTTCTTTCTTTCTTTCTTTCTTTCTTTCTATAACCTAATTTCAACTTTACCTCTCTTTTCATTTCACACACCAGCCCTCTGCTCCCATCTCCTATTTTTCCAAAACTTTTCTTATTTCCCTTACTCCTCCCACTTCATCCTCACCTCCTCCCTCCCTCCTTTCCTCCCACCCATCCACCTCCTCCTGGCTTTGATCTCCTCCAAATAAAACAATCAAAACTCAAGCAAGTTCAGACCATAATTCAATTTTGATTTTATTTATTCTCATTATCTGTGAATGCCAAAAATATTAAAGACCCCTTCCTGCCAACCAAAAAAAAAATAAAAGAATCTCATTATAAAAAAATAAAGGTTAATTAAGTTTAAATAGTTATTTGATAAATAAAAATGAAGGTTATAAAAGCATGGGATGTATAAATGCACATAGCTGTGCATATTCGTGCATATACGCATATATAATAACCCAGACATTCATGTGCAATGATGTGTGGATGCATATACATGCACTTACAACATAAACATAATGTGCATAAAGTTCTCAATCTGCAGAATTAGACTTTCATTGCCATTCATGTCAGTTTGTTGGATTGTGCCATACTGCAAAAAAAGGAAAAAAAAAATATTTGATATTAGCATCTATTATGTTGGTGATTGGATGCAGAACTTTCACTAAAATCCTGATGTACATTATTTACATTATTCAGACTATTGTCCTCATCTTTGTTGCCATATTTATTACGTTTTGGCCGTTGTACACTCCAGCCTTCTTCAGGTGGTTGGAATGTCGAACTGAACCCTTTATTTCGCTCACTAGGGTAGACTGTTCTAGATCCACGTGCCATGTATAATGGATGTCAGTTATTAGTTATCTCCTATTAATTTCCCTGTGAAAGTTCTCCACTGTCTTAACCAGGTATTGAACTCACACTCTTTGGGTCCTGTCACTGGATCTAACCAACACTTTTATCTACTGTGCCATGTGTCCTCAAGGCCAAAATGTTGTAATAAATATGGCGACAAAGATGAGAACAATAGTCCAAATAATGTAAATTGTTATGGTCCAGGTTAGGACCAAGGAAGAACAACATAAACACAAGAGTAGAATTAACGAAGATGTATTACACGAAATAATAATACAAGATGTGGAAGGTGTTAGTATGGCTGTCAGTCTGGTTTGGAGTGAACTACTATCGGCTCGACTTGACTCGACCCTCTCTCTTGAGAGGTGTAATATACATAGTGTTAGGAAGAGTTCATTCTGTAGTTATAGGTAAGGACCCATGACATAAATAATGTACATAATACCTCATCTCAGAAATATTGACAAAATCTTGATGAATGTATATTCCCTCCATTAGAGTTTAAACACAGCTGAGACCTCAAGTGGAACTTTTACTTACAGATGCTGGAAAATTGGTAGGTTCTCTGTACTGCTCCAGTAAGTACCTGACTCCTCCTGCTGTTCTCTACCTTTACAAAAGACATATCAGACAGAAATGGAGTACTGCTGTCATATATGGGCAGGAGCAGCTTAGTCTTCACTTTCTACTCCTGAAAGAATCCAAAAGCATTTCTATGACATTGTGGGTGATTAATTATTTTCCACCCTACAATCTTTTCTCACAGATAAGAAGTCACAAGCCTCTTGTTTTTCTATGGCTATTTTCATGGAGAGTGCTCAGATGAATTACATTTCTTAATTCCAACAGTCCTAACCCTCATAGCTAAGACCCACCATGACATGCACATTTTAGCAAACCAGCCTCATTCCCTTCATAAATTTTTGGTGAGATGCAAATTCCACTTGAGCAGCTCCTTCATGAAACACTGCCTTGTAGAACTGACTCCCAAGAGGATGTTTCCCCCAATCACTATGTTCTCTTTGATCATAATATTGGATCCAGTGATGAAATATTTCATCCTTTTCTAAATGATAATGGAAGCATTTAGGATTTTGTTGGTTTCAAATACTGGTAAATATTAGTAATATTTCTTTGTTTTTTTGATTTACGGTATTTTCTTATTTCAATGTTTTTAGTCTTTTTGTGTTTAGAATAATATATAATAATATTTACAGTATTAGACTGAATTTTTCTTAGATAAAAATCTTTCTGTAGCTTTTTTCCAAAATTTTGTTTTCAAATAAGGATTCATTCATATAACAGTCCATCTTATATTCTGAAAAATAGAGTAATTATAGGTTTTTTAAAAAGCCAGTATTAATTATAAGTTGCTGCCTATAATTCATTTATGTCTCTCATCCCAAAAAAGGATAGCAGATATGAATTGGTTAATAACATTTTTGGTACTTATTTAAATTAAATTATTTTAAAGAAATTTCTATTCCAAATTTCAGAGAAAAAAGTTTTCTTTCAATTGATTACACCTCATACTTTAATTTATTTCAGCAAGACTTATAGCAGTGTATGTAGTATCAGGATAAGTTTTTGTTTTTTTAATCATTTCACCCCAAGTAAGGCAATAAAGCCAATAAGACATGGGGTTACTGAGCATTATACACATTTCCTTGTTTAATTTTTATTTTTTCTTCATTATATGTATTTCTTTATTTTTCTTTCTTTGCATTTTTCTTTTATTTTTCCTTTCTTTAATTTTTTTTCTTTTATACTTCTCTTTTTTTTCTGCATTATACACATTCTTTCTTTTTAATTTTCTCTTATTTTTCTTTCTTTCTTACTTATATATTCTTTCTTTATAATTTTTTCATCCATTATACATTTTACTTTATTTTTAAGTTTTTCTTATTTTTCTTTCTTTCTTTCTTTCTTTCTTTCTTTTATACTTTTTCTCTTATTTTTCCTCACTTATACACATTACTTTCTTTTTAATTTTTCTCTTATCTTGCTTTTTTCTTTTTTACTTATGCCTTTTTCTTTCATTCTATTTTTTTTTACACTTTCTTTCTCTTATTTTGTCTGCATTATATGCATTTCTTTCTTTTTAATTTTTCCCTTATCTTTCTTTGTTTCTTTCTTTGTTTCTATCTGTTTGTATAACATGAGAGTGCCTATAATATATTTCTTTCCTCTCTATGACAACATTACTTTAATTGAAGGTGATTCATGGGTGTAAGTCACATTGGCCGTCATGGAACAATTATGGGGAAATATTTTCTTTCATGTTTATAAATTAATTGGTAAAGTTTTATACACGTATTTGCAGATAACCTTGTATGAATGACTCTGCCTATTTAAGCTTGTATGAATGCATGAGTGTGTGTGTGTGGAGGGGGCATAGATGTGCATGTGCATGTGTGGATTCATGTATTGAGAATCCCTTGAAAGAAAGAAGCCATTTTTGCCTTGGAGATGCCCAAATTTGATATCTTTCAAACAGGTCAGACTGGATTGAATTTTATTTTATTTAATTTTAAAATGGAATGCTGACCAAATTCACTAAATAGTTTGAAAACAAAAATATTTTAATTCTTTTCTTTTCTTTTTTTTCTTGTTTTTTGCTTCTTTTTCTCTTTACAATTCTTGTTTTTTATTTTTTTATCTTTTTGATTTTTTTCTCTTTTTCATTCTTGTCTTTCACTTTTTCTTTTTCATTTCTTGTCATTTACTTTTTTTTGCTTTTTTCTTTTTAACTTTTTTCCTTTCATGTCTTTTACGTTTTTATTTTTTCTTTTGTTGTCTTTTATTTTTTTCTCTTTTTTTTTTTAATTATCCATTTTTGTTTCTTTCTTTTTTTTTGCCTTTTTCCATTCTTGTCTTTTACTTTTTTTCTCTTTTCCATTCTTGGTTTTTATTTTTATTTTCAATCTTGCTGCTTTCATGTTTTTGCTCTTTTCAATGTTTTTTTTTTCTTTTTTTCTCTTTTACTTTTTAGTTTTATACTTTCATGTCATTTACTTTTTTCTTTTTTCATCCTTTTACTTTTTTCTCTTTTCCTTTCTTGTTTTTTGCTTTTTTTCTCTTTTTCATTCTTTTATGCATTTTTCTCTTTTCTTTTCTTGTTTTTTGTTTATTTTTCCCTTTTCCTTTCTTGTTTCTTGCATTTTTCTATTTTCCATTCTTGTTTATCGCTTTTGTATTTTTCTTTTTTTGTCTTTTCCAATCTTTTTTTGCTTATATTTTTCTTTTCCATTCTTGATTTTTGCATTTTTTTCTCTTTACCATTTTTGCTTTTTACTTTTTTTTGCTTTTCTATTCTTGTTTTTTGCTTTTTTCTCTTTTACTTTTTTACTTTCATGTCTTTTACTTTTTCTCTTTTCCATTCTTTTTTAAGTTATTTTCTCTTTTCCATTCTTGTTTTTGCTATTTTTTCTCTTCTTCCTTTTTTATTTTTTGTTCTCTTTTCTTTTCTTGATTTTTCTTTTTTTCCTTTTTTTTTACATTTTTCTTATTTCCTTTCATGTCCTTTACTTTTTCTGCTTTCCATTCTTATTTTTTACTTTTATTTTATTTATAAAACAAGAATGAAAAACATTATTGTTTTATGCTTTTTTTTTCTCTGTTCCATTCTTTTTCTTTTGATTTTTTTCTCTTTTCCATTCTTGTCATTTACTTTTGTCTTTTTTCCTTTCATGACTTTTACATTTTTCTCTTTTCCATTCTTGTTTTTTAATTTTTTTCATTATTCCCTTCTTGTGTTTTATTTTTTTTCTATTCCATTCTTGTTTTTGCTTTGTTTCACTTTTCCTTTCTGTTTTTTGCATATTGTTTTCACTTTTCCTTTCTTATTTTTCACTTTTTTCATCTCTTTTCTATTCTTTTTTATGCATTTTTTCTCTTTTTTTTTCTTGTTTTTTTGTTCATTTTTCTCTTTTCCATTTTTGTTTTTTGCTTTTTTTTCTCTTTTCTATTTTTCTTTTTTTCATTTGTTCTCATTTTCATTCTTGTTTCTACTTTTTTCTCTTTTTCATTTTTGTCTTTTACTTGTTCTTTTGACTCTCTTGTCTTTTAATTTTTTCTGTTATCCTTTCTTGTTTTTTGCTTCTTTTCTCTTTTCCATTCTTGTCTGTTACTTTTTTCTCTTTTCCATTCTTGATTTTTCCTTTCTCTTCTCTTTTCATTGCCTTGTTTTATTTTTTATTTCTTTTTTACTTCCTTCTTTTTTCCTGGCATCATTTTCCTTTCTCCATTTTTACTTTCTTTTCTTTTATCCTTTTTTTTTCACTTTTCCTCGTTGCTTCGTTTTTCTTTCTTCTTTTGAAATTTTCTCTTTTCTTTTTTCTTTCTTTACTTAACCTTCTTCTCCTTTCTTGTTTCTTTTTCATTTTCTTTTTTCTTCTATGATTCTGTCCTTTTTTCCCCTTTTCTTATTTCCTTCCTTCTCTTCATCAATTCAAGGATCAACTCAAAAACACCTTGCTGAAGATAGAAATCGATCCAATCAACTGGTAGATGAAAGGTGCAGAAAGAACCAATTGGAGAAGAGCAGTCCACAAAAAAACATCCTTCAAAAACACCAGAAGGCAAATAGAAGAGATGAGACTCCAAAGAAAAGACAGAGCTCTCCATTTACCGAACCAACCTACCCTGCCATGTGTTGGCATGTGGACATCTTGTCACATCCAACATAGGACTTATTTCACACACAAGGAAATATCAATGAGCACCCCAATACTTGGCAACAAGTTTTGCCAACAATGACCATCAAGGATACTGAGTACTTTCCCCATAAATATAGCATATTAAAATTAAAACTATATCTTTTCTTTTCTCATTCTCTCGTTTTCTCACACACACACACTTAAGTTTTTTTTTTCTTTTAACACATGTTTACTTCAGAGTTTCATGGCTATATAAGTATAACCACTTGTTGGAACAAATTTAATCTGCTGTCATTTCTCGATTCTCTTGTACTTTTATTGGTGTAAGTGTATTATTTATTTGCTTTCCCTTTGATAGGTGCTAATTGATTGTTGATTTCTCTTTGTCTTTCATCTTTTTTTTACTTTAACTCTTTTACTTTTTTTGTTCCTCTTTTATTCTTTCCTCACCTTGATTGTTGGTTGCTAGTTTATTGTTGACCAATTAATATAGGTTATGGTTGGAATTGTGTGCGCATATGTATATTTGTGCAAGTGTATGTGCATGTCCATGTATATGCACACATATACGCACACATATGCTCACCTATACATGTATGCTTGTGTGTTCATGTATGTGTTTTAATTTTGTTTGTGTTAACTGTATTGTATATTTAATTGTATATTTGTGTTCGTGTGTGTGTTTGCGTTAACTATATATGTATTTTTTTTTTATTAGTGGGCTGTATTATTTCACTTAGTGTTTTAACTCGACTTTGTGTTTGATAGTTGTGTGAAAGAACAGTTTTTTGTTGGTGATGTTGTTAAACGAGTTAATTTTTTCTTTTTGTGTAGGTGTGTGCATCCATATATGTAAGCATATGCATGTATACACATACACAAGCATGCATGTACACACCAACCTGCACGTGTATGTTTGTGTGTTTGTGTATGTGTGGCTGTGTGTTTGTTTTAACTGTATGTGTATATTTAATGGATTGTGTTGCTTAACACTCTAATATATTTTAGTAGGTTGTATTAGTTAACTTTACTTAGTTTTTTAACTTTACTTAGTATTCAATACTTGTGTTTAGTTGTATGAAAGAACAAGCCAATTAGTTGTTTCTTTTGTATTTTTTCTATGCTCCTCATCTTTGGTGTTGTTTTAACCATTTTAGATTAGGATATGGTTGAATGTTTGTGTGTGTATATGTATGTGTGCGCTTTTGTGCAGTGGGTATTTATGTGTGTGCTCACATATATGCATGCATACATGCATAAAAATATGCATGCATACACATGCTTTTCTTTTCCTTTTCTCTCTCTTCCTTGCTTTTACACAAACTGTGGTCATGTAATTTAATAATTGTGTTATTGTATAAAAGAGGGATTGCTACCCAGATACACAATTATTAAATTACCTGACCTGGCAGCCAACAAGGAAAGTAACCGCACTACCATGTCAGTTGTTTTAATGAAACTTGTACAAAAGAGGGATTGCTGCCTAAATACAATTATATATATATATATATATATATATATATATATATATAATAATGATAATGGACTCTCCCATCGGTTTCAACGTATGAGGATCTGACAACTTATTGATTCAGTTATGAAAGTTTTGCGCGATAATCTTAAGTGGCTTTTAAGACCCGCTAGTGATTTACAAAGGAGGCCACATATGGAGCAGGTGTGAGGATTGTGAGATGAGATCACTGTTAGATTGGTTGACCTTTTAGATCTTGCTCTCACTTCTTGAAGATGATTCAGACAAGCAGATTGAAAATTGCTGAGTCCACATGTTGATCTCCATTCTACCTCCTCCAAAGCTAAGCGCTCAAGGGTGTTATATGGTATATTAACTGCTGACAAGTTGCTTTTCAGCTTGTCTTTGTATCTTAGCCATGGTTGTCCTACATCCTGTAGCCCTGATCTAACTGGCTGTGCATTAGGACCTTGGGTATCCTGTCATCAGACATTCTCAAGACATGACCAGTCCACCATAACCGAGACTGTATGATAAAAGTCTCGACTCCTCCAATATTACACCTCTTAAACAGGTCTACGTTAGATGTCCTATCTTGAAGCTTAACTCCACAGATTGCATGCAGACAGCTTTTATATATATATACATATATATATATATATAATTGTGTATCAGAGTATGATTACAATCCAGTTATGTGCCATGTGTGGTACAAGCTTAGGTGATCATGTATCCTTTCAATACATGACTGACGAGGCAGATTTTTTTCCCGCAGTAGGTTGTCATTTCTTTCTCTGGGAGACCAGTTGCCATCCAAGGCTACAGAACCTTTACCCATAGCTGGGGCGAGAAGAAAAGGATTCATACATTTCCCAAGAGTATTAGCATGTAAGTGAATGTAATGGATCCAACTGGAATTTGAACTCGGCTCTCCGATTCCTTAATCCGAGCAACTATCCATTACTCCACCATAAGTTTATCTTCGCAATTCACCCCTGGAGATGATTTCGAATGAGATTGAAAGGACTCGGGTTAACAAGAACTACGGCACCTTCCTTGATTTATTTCAACTTAACATGCAGAATATAATTAGAGAGCTATAAA